AAAGATGTCAAAGAACATTTTTTGTCTTGGGATTATTTCCTCATGTGCGTGTATCTGTATGTGAGAGAATGCACATGGAGTATATCTTGTGTGGTTTTGCAGCTAGATATACTCAGTGATTTGGTATAACTCACAGCAAGATGTGCCTTTGAACAAAGGCAGAATCTCGGCCAAAATTTCTTGGGGGACCTGGGGCCTGGAGCACACCTGACGTCATACAGACATCAGCAAGGAAAAGGAATGCTCGTATTAAGCTTATGCAGTTTTCTGAGTGACTAAAATCGTTATTGAGCATGAATGAAGTCTGACTGATGAATAACAGTGCTAAACCTTTTTCAGTCCATTTTCAGTACAGTATGGAAGACAGAGACTGATGAATGAGATTTTCTTCACTACTGTTAGGAATACCTAGAGAGGCAGGTTCAAACCCTTATTGAGCGGTATGATTACATACCATAAGATGTTATTCTTAACAGGGTTGGACAAATTATCGCCATCAAAGCAAAGGTGAACAGAGCATTCAAAACCAGCATGGAGGTAAGAGATCATCACTCTTATTCCCAATGATATTTAAAGAATAGAAGAAAGGTGGGAAGATTAGAGGAATGCAACATGGGTCCAGTCTTATTTGTCTTAGAAGGAGCTTTGTGCAGATATCTGAACAATAACACTGCCTAATGAAACTCTGGTTTCATAATGACTATTATAATTGCATGTTTCCTGTAAAATAATCCATGTCAAAATAGAAACTGGACCTTGAAGAATTAAAATCTTTGGCAGGTATAATGGACGGGATGGGATAGGTGGTGTTGGTCCAGAACAAAGCTATTGACCTGTAAACAGTCTTTGGATCAGATCTAGGATCCACTGAACAGGTGGAGTTCTAAGTATTTTTGAAACTTCTGATACAAAAATGTTTATCTCAGGTGTATGCATGTTCTTATTCTTCATATTATAACAAGTATGCAATGCATTGCCCAATCACTTCCTTGAAGTCAGAATTGAACCTTAAGGGTACTTTTCTCTGCATTGTGCCCAAGTCCAATTTCCATTAATATTAATGGGAGTGATGCATCTCGCAGAGAATGTATTTCAAAAGATTAAAAAAATTAGAAAAAATCAGAAGTTTTGATGCATGTCAGGCCTGTCTCACAGGATCAAATACAGTGTTTCACCTTCAAGTGTTTCATTGTGTTTTATACATTTATACAGACGTTTTCGCTCATACAGATCTTGGAAAGATTCAGATGGGGACTCCAAATGACACACAAGTAAATGGAAAGAGATATCCATAAAACTAAATCTAAGCGTCTTTCCTATTTTGTATTTTATCCTACAAGTGATGCTAAACATACATACAGAGTTGTTGTACTAAAGAGCTTTTCAGAGCTCAGCAAATATTGTGATGTTCTTATGTGTTCAGAGATGTATCAGTGATAGCAGAGCAGTTTTTTACCTTTTTTCTTTTAAATTTAAGAGACTGGGTGTGATTGATTGATAAACAGTGCACCATTTTGTCTCAGCTCAACTGACAATGATGTAAATACCGTTTTTGTCTTCTTCCTCCACTACCTCCTTCCTTGTAGGTTGGCATAAAGGTTACGGTACAGGACGTTTTGACTAATGTTGAAAAAATTGTGAGTGTGGCATATGCAACATATGTAGCCAAACCAGTTGGTGCTGGAAAGGTATTCTTTCTGTTTTCTTCTATGCTTGAAGTTACTGGGACTGAGTTTCTGTGAAATAACCCAATTTTCTGGTTGTGAAACACAGGAAAATGTTCATACCTGTTTATTCTGATGAGTAATAGGAAAACAGCATGAAGTCCAGACTATATGGAGATATTTTTTTTTCTACAGTCCATTTGTTAGGCTTTTTTAATTGTTTCCACTTTTCGTGCACATTTGCTAGTAATAGAACTGGTGTCTTTGTACAGGCTGCAATATTGATAGAGGCGAGCACTGGAAGAGAGATCCCTGTGAGTCTGCACGGTCTCTCTCTATTTCAGAAACTGATCTATATACATCTTGAAACCTGCAAGGATGTTGGGGGTGGTGTTTCTTTATCCTTCACTCCCCCTTTTGAGAAGGTTGTTCAAACATCACTATTTGGAGAGAAGACATTATTTTTAAGCTAGCTTCCTATCTAAATTAATTCTTTGTCATTTATGTTAATTAGTTTTCAAGCAGGTGTTGTTTCTTCTCCCCAGTCTTTGGCTCCCAGAGGTATTTAGAAATCAGTCATGGTACTGTTTGGCCTTCACATTGCTGTGCTAAGCAGGCACAGTTCTTTTAAAGTTTTCATATGTGAAAGGCGAAATATTCCTCAGATCCTCTTAATAAACTCCTTTTGTATGTAGTAGTCTACTTTCTTGAACATGAGTGACTAGAATCATATATTGACTTTCCTGTGCTGCTGAATGTGTTACGATAGTGCATCTTCCTTTTTAACATCTACTGCAGATTGGCAGAGAGCAGTCATCCCATGATATATTACAGTTTGCAGAAGAAACAGATGGGAACAGTTTTACGAAAACTAAATTCCAACTTGTCTCTGAAAGGCTCATGGCTAAATTGGTTAACCTGAAAGCACTAAAATAGTATAAAGTAAGGATTGTTTATTATTGATTTGATATCTTATCCATGGCATCAACCCATTTACCTTTTGCCCAGATTTCCAGGGAGGTTAATTCAGGATTAAACTGGTGATGATTAACTAAGATTAGGCTTAAGACAGGAACACCCCAGAGGGAGTTTGAGACTTCAGTTCAAATTCCATCACAACTTAAAGTCTTGTAGAAATTAAAGAATATTTTTTCAAATCCACTTTTCTGAACAACTGTTGCTAAAGTTATGCAGAGAGCAGCAGTATGCGCTCACCATCCTAAACTCTTATCTGGACCATCTGGAAAAAGCTAGGACGCTCTTGAGGAGGGCCAGAAAGGAGGCAAGGAAACTGGAAGAGGATTTGAGTGAAGACTCCAAGACTGGGAAACATTAGCAGCACCACTAGAGGACACAAAATGTTGAATTTGTCTGTGTTGCTGTGCTTGTTCATTATTTAAGGCTTCTGAGGCTAGACCTTGTAAACAAATCACATAAGTGACTGTTCAGTGGCACCTCTGCAGTATTTATCTAAATGTAATAATTTTCTTAAGCCAATACAGGCTTGGATTCAGTTTGTCATTGAACTGACATACATGGGAATTTGCATTTAAGGGAGAAGAAGGTCTGATCTTGGCAAGAAGGGTGCATGGCTGGGCAGAAGTAGCATTTTGGGCATAAATGTATAGAGTCTGAAGCTGCACCAAGTGCTGGGTGTTCATGTGTTTTTCCTCCACCTCAGAAAACCAGTGCTTCTTTGAAAATAACTCCTCAGATAGATGGAATAGGCAATGTGAGTATGGAGTGAATTGTGAAAAAGGGAGCGGACTATTTGTGTAGTGAGTGGGAGTGGGCTCTGGGGTACACTTTCCCATAGACTACACCACTGATGAATGCAACTGGGTTATTTTTCTGTTAAAAAAATTCAATACTCAAACCTTCATTTTAAGATCATCTTGTTTTTCTCTTTTTCTTTTTCCTTTTTTCTTTTGTCTTAAACTCTGTGTGCTCTCACAGATGTTTGTATTTAAAAGCCAAAAGCACTTTGTCATTGAGTTTTAACAAATTATTCTGAAAGGATAATGCAGAATCTTTTGAACTTTAACTCTGCCCTTGTTTGTATTAATAGAACTTGTAATCTTGGACAGTTGATAGCAAAAGGTTGCAGATAATGCTGATGCCATTTTAAGTTCAAAATGCACTTTGTTATGATTATGGCATTCAGAATCTTTTTTTCTTTTTCATTTGCATAGATTGCATTAGAACCTGTAAAGCTTCTGTCTACAGAAGACCACCTGGAGCATGCCTTGGCTATTGAGAGAAGAAGAATCCGCCTGGGCTATGAACAGATCTTTCAGAACCTAATGCAGGAGAGTAATAAGGAAGGTGATTACTGTGGTCAGCATGGAAGATGGAACAAATGACTTAGGGGCAGCTGGAAGGGAGGAAAAAAGCAGACAAAACATCTGAGTAGAGCTCCATGAGGTTGTGGTATCATGTAGAAAAGCGTGTACCAGATTTGTGAGGGTGTGTAAGACAGTTATTCTAATAGAGTGGTATTTCTTTGTCTTTCAGAAATTCCAGATACAAAAATGCAGGATTGAAGGCCAAGCATGCATTAAGTAGATGTGAAATGCAGATCTTCATGTAGGTTATATGTGTAAGGTTTAACAGTTCACACAGAACTTTGCAATATGGTAGTAAGGTCCTATGACACTAGTTATAATGTAGATAGAAGGATAAAATTCACTCAGGCTTATGGCTGTGTCTTTGTAAGAAAGCACTAAGAACTATGTTTATGCCATGAGATCATTCCCAACAAGCAGGCGAAACTTCATTACCTGAAGGTCAAAACAGGTAAAAAAAAAAATTTAAACTTCTTATGGCCAAATTAGAAAAATTGAGCCAAGAAACAGGTTCATCTATATTTCTGATAGTAATCTCTGTTCTTAAAGACAGTTGTGCTCAAAAGTTGCTGTGTTCCCCTGCAAAAGAAATGATTCACAACAGTTAAGAAATATGCTGGTATTTGGAAAATCTGAGCCGTAACTCCATGTATAAACAACAGACATTATGTAGTTTTACCACGGAAAGTTGAAACCTGTTGTAAATATAAATTCTAGTCTTAACAATTTAATAAGACTCTGTAGAACTGAAGAGACTTATTTGCTACAAGCAAACCAGTTATTTGTCTTCATGGTAACTGTCTCATAGGAGACAGCTTAATACCATGAAAAGCAAATAGAGGTTGCTGATTTTGGTTTCCACTGCCTTGCCTGGAAACCTCCTTGAAGGATCTTATCATTGTTAGCACTAATTCACCTCCTTAAGGAGACAGAACAAGCAAAACAAGGGAAGAGAAAAGAAAACATTGCGTGTAAAGGCTGCCAGGTAGCAAAATAGGTATAAATCATATCCATAAAGTGAAGTTTGTCTTCTGAGTGGATCTTATGCAACAACTTAAGTAGGTCCAAAGTGCAAGTTAGTCAAATATATCCACACATTTATATAATTACGAAGTTAGTTAATTATGGCAAAATTTGAAAGTACAATTCAGGTCAAGTACCTTCTAGCACACATACATGCTTTTAAAATGACTGACATCATCTCATGCCTGAATCTGTTCTTGCAAAATAAAAATGAAAAAACCAAAGATTAGAGTGAGGATGTATAGCTAAACATTTGAAAATGAAATTGGAAATGCTCATATAGTGGAAGGTAGTTACTGATTCTGATCCATATTACTCTCTTTCATGTGTTCTATATTGTCTCTGGTAATCACAAGATTTGTAACAGGTTATGAAATAGTCATGTCATACTCTAACCTTAATTAGACAGATTTGCACAGGTGCCCATCATACATGGTGGTCAAAGTCTATGAAAGGCATTTGAATAAGCGATAAACTGCTCTGACAACATCTGTTGGAGGTCATACGTAGCAACCATGAATAATCACAAGCACATGCTGAGGCAGTTGGCTGCCTGTGTTCACAACTAGCCAGCTTTCACAGTAACTGCTTCTCACACAGCTTCTTTGAAGGATATAGTGAGGGCTGGGAAGGATCACTGTGCTGCAATAGACTGCGGGGTGCACCATCCCCCACCCTTATGTCTCTTGGAAAAACAGAGCAAATCTTCAGCCTCTTGCTTGTCTTGCAAAGAACAGAGGTCTTCTGTGTCTTTCTTCTTTTTGTTGTGTCTGAAGCAAATTGCACGCTTCAGTAACTGGGGGTATTTTCTTCTTGGCTATCAGACTTACTAGCAGAAATAATTCATTAATACATTTCTGCTGTGTTTCAGACACTTTTGAAGAGGAAGATGCAGTTTCAACTGATGTTACTCATGTACAGAGTATTGAGCTTGTCCAGCCTCCTCATGCAAACCATCATGGAAACACTTTCGGTGGCCAGATCATGGCTTGGATGGAGACAGTGGCAAGTATTTCAGCAAGGTACTTTTCTACATCATAGTCTTTGTGTATGGTTCTAAATGGATGTGATTTTAATATTAAGGGTTTCACTGGGATTTATTCTATGAAAAATACAGGCCCAAACCTTTGTGACTTTTCTTACTCCTCAGATTGCAGGAGGCCTTTGAACTATTTACGTGGTACATTTCCTACAGCATGCCACACCACTGTGGGAGTCAAATACTATTCTTCTGTTACACATGCAGACCCTAAGGCAAAAGAGGCTATGTTACTCTCCTAAAACTCTCTGCAGAAAGTCAGCTTTGGAAATAGGAATAGAAACCTGACCTCCTTGTAGTTGGTGCAGTGTTTTAAAAGCTGAGTTAGTCATTAAGTCAGGATAAAACTGATACTGACCTTGTATCAAATGATATCCAAAACTGAGCAGCATTCTTAATGTTCATCTGCAGATCATTATGCCAGAAGAAGGAACAAGTCAGAGAAGAAGAATCAAAAGAAACATGTTCTGTTTTCTTGGTGTGCACAGAGAATGGATGCATAACCTTCAGCAAGTCACTTAGTGTTTCAGTCTCTCTTGAGTCGCACATCCTATAGGTTGTAATATTTTTAGCAGTTTAAAGGGCTCTGACATCTTTAGGTAATAAGTGTGAAGTATTTTTGTGACACTGCCTAGTATTGCTTGTCAGTATGGCCTAGACATAAAATCATTTAATTTCTCTTCCCCTGAAATCAAACCATTGTTTTTCTCCCTCCTTGCTCTTGGACTCCATACAAAGCTTCTTTGTAAGCAGCACTTGAGTTTCAGTTTGAATTCTCCTTGCATACCAAGTGACCTAATTCACTGCAGGGATGTTAAGATATGTTTTCGTTTTTTAACTTTAATAATTAAATTGCTTCCCCATTCATTATTCATATAGTTTTGATTTGTAGCCAGTAGTTGTACTGATAACAACAGATTTTCTGTAGCGGTTGGATAAACAGCGTGCTTTAGTAATGTCAGAATGCACTGACCTTACTGCAGTGTGTAATTTCATTGGCTTCAAAGGGATTGTTTCAGATTTTTGCCATAATATGACCCAAAATATTTACCTGTTTTCATTTGATAAATTTTACCTAGTGAGAATTACATTTAGGTTTAAAAAGAAAAGGAAAATACCAGCAAATGAAGTAGTGAAAAAATTTCTTTGAAATAATGAATGTCAAACATGATTTGTCATGTTGAGAATTTCAAGAATAATAGCTGCTGACAGAGGCTTGTTGAAAACAGAGATTTTGTAGTTTATGCTTGAGAAATAGCTTGTCTCACTACAAACCTTTTGTGAGGCCACTCACAATTAGACTTGACCTTTGAAGGTGCCAGCTAAGAGTTGCTATGGCCACAAACTCTGATGGAGGAACGGAAGAAGAGGGCTAACCCTTGAAAAATAAATTTCTAAGGGCATTTTAAAGGTTACTCACCCTCCTTCTCCCCTCTCTCCCACCCCCTCCACTTTTTTGGCCGGACAGTAAATGATAATCTTGCAGATAGCAATAAAGCCATTTGAATATTAGTAATATTAGTTTGAACTCGATCTGTACTTTCTTATTTCTTGCACTTGCAGTAAAAGCATTCAGGCCATAGTTTTCCAGGAAAAATGGAATATTTAGGCCAAATTTCTGTTTTGTTCCTCTCTTATTTTCAATAACATTGTGTTTGCATCTTTATAGTGAACATTGTAAATAAGATCACCATTTAGCATTTTAAATCAGAAGAGCAAATTGTTCTTAATGAAATTACAAAATTGTTTGAATATATTAGTCTATCAAAAAGACGTACCAGTAAATTAATTAGGTACAGATAATTGTGTGCATTTAACAATACTGGTAGATTAGTTTTCAGAGTGCAGTGAGTTAAAAGCTAGGAATGCTACAAAGTTATATTTTCAAGTTTAAAAACTGCACAATGCAAAACCTATTCTCAGATGTGCATATGGCATTCTTATTGAGCATTTTGCACTCATGCATGAGGACAGAACATGTTTTTTCAAAGTCTAAATATAGATGGCATTATTGTATTTTGTTCCCTATTCATGTCATGCACAGAGATCCCAGTAAAGAGTGGGGCTTTGACTACATTTAGAACTGCTGAAGAAACCTAATTTTTGCCCACTACGGAGAGCTTGCAAACTAGATCCCTATTCCACAAACCCTTAAGCTGTATCTGTACTGCAGATTTTTTTCTGGAATGTCTGTGAAGGTCAGAGAGGCGATGAGTGTAGATGGCACGGAATTGCAAAACTTTTCTTTTAGCAGTGTAGCTGGGTTTGATCAGGTGTGTATCTGTTTGTCCACTGTATCGGTCTGAAGAGCAGCTTTGCTAGTACGCTCCTGGAAAGGGTACTCGCCTGGCACAGACAATCTTCTGTACTAGAGCAGCAAAGTTTTACTGGAGTGGCTACAGCCTGTTTCACAAGCAATTCAAAGAGACCCAGTAAGACAACCTTGCTGAACCTGACTACGTGTAATTGCACGCAGTCCAGGATCAGGTCTGAAATAAGAAGAGACAGGTGAGTGGATGCACTATGCAATTGGAAGGACAAAGGGAACAGAATTACTAAGATTTGTAATGTAATGTACATGTAAAGATGTTTGTAATACACTATTGTGCCCTCAGCTTTTGAAATTTAGCCAACAGTTCTGTTTTTCTGAATTGATAAGTGATCAATTCAACATCTTTCTGTCCCTTTGTATGTGGAAAGATGAGTTTCCCAGCTCAGCACCAGTAGTGAACTGCACATAATTTAGTAAACCAGACCAAATTAAAAAAAAAAAAAAAAAAAAGAAACCAACTATGCATTTGGCAGTTATTTGGGTAGTTTTTTATTCTTATTTCATATAACACTAGCAGAAAACATCTGACAAACAAGCAAAAATATACAAATATTAAAAGAATAGATAGACTGACATTGCTTTGCTTGAATACTGTTTCTGGTGCTCAGCCTTTCTGCTGAGGTTTCTTTTAATTGTTTAAAGGCTTTATGATCTGGCATTTTTACGTTCTGAGCAAAATCCTACTCCCTGTGCAGTCATATAGAAATTGATGAAACTCTGTGAAGTAAATGGTTACTCTGTAGGTAAGGGATTCATGGTCTGGCTCCAAAAGAAAGTAATATCAAGCAGTGAGAATTAATTAGTTAGTGTTTGTAAAGTCTGTTGAAAATGAAACAGCATGACATAAGTGGTATTATTATGTTTGAAGCTGGAATTATATGCTCTTGGAGCTGAACATGTTAAGTGTATTTCAGTGAGTTATGGAATAAATTAGTGTCATACAGTGGTCTTCTAGGTTGTGCAAACCTTGTTGCTCTAATCACCACCCAATTCAAACCTAACAAAGGAGGTTCTTTAACATGACTATGTTTTGCTCTCTGTATCTGCTGCTTTCTTTTCCAGCCGCCTTTGTCATTCATATCCTGTCTTGAAATCAGTCAATATGTTTAAATTCTGGGGACCATCCGTCGTGGGTGACCGCCTTGTATTCAATGCAGTTGTGAACAATGCATTTCAGAACAGGTAAAGCTCCTAATCTGCTTGTCTTCCTTGACTTCTTCAGCACCAGCCTAAATGTGTGTTTTAGGTTTCAGCTTTCAGTAGGATTGGCATTATTGAATGAATTATATTTCAGCTGGAGCTTTGAGGGATATATCTATGTCTATAAATATCTGTCTATAAGCACCTTTTTTTTTACTTTTCTCAGTGAAAGTTTTTAAAAATTATTCTCTGACTTTCACTCTTAATTTAAAGATCATTTGTAACCAAATCCCAATCCTGCAAACTGAGAGCCATAAATATCACTCTGAAATTCAGGGATTTTCAAGGGATGAGTTGGTCTCCCAGCTTTGATTCTTGAGAAGACTCCAGCTTGCTGCCAGGATCTTCCTGTCTTGGCATCTGTTGACAGATCTGGGTTCTATTTATTGCTGGTTACTGGCAAAATTCATGCTTTGTTTTGTTTACTTCTTCCCAGAGTTTGGTTTGGGTGTATGCAGAGGTGAGGCTTTGCCAGTTGCAGTTTGGAATAAATGGCTACAGCCCATGCTGAAATTTTATCTTTAGTTGAGTATATTGAGGTGTAGCAAGACAACCCACAAGACGGCAGAAGCTAAAGTAATTCTTCCTCCAAATTCTGTACACGGGACAAATGTTATCCTGGCATTGGTCTTCTATGGATGTTTTCTTCGTAGGTGTATTTGGTCCCTGCAGAATGCTAGCAGGGCATGAATTACCTTTATACCATGCTTCTGCTGAATGTCAAATCAATATCATGCTGTTCACTTTTGCTGTCTGTTCTCACAGTAATCTTACCGGTGTTCCTATTTTGCTACTTAGCTCAATTTTTGCTCTTTTTATTAATGCTATTTAGCTAGTGCCACCTTTTATTTTATTTCTGAAATGTGTCTGTCCAGACTGAGTAATTTATTTTGTGTGCTACAGAAGGTATTTGAGTCAGGCTTCATGCACACAGGAAGGTGTACAGCAGCCCTTTTTAGTATGTCTCAGGGCTGCTTCTGCATCACTTGTAGCAGTTCAGTAATTAATTTAAACTTTTATTTCAGTGTGGAGGTTGGTGTCCGTGTTGAGGCTTATAACTGTGAAGAATGGATCAAGGACCAAGCACGGCATATTAACAGCGCGTTTCTCATTTTTAACACTGTAAATGACAAAGGAGAGCTGCTCACTTTCCCCAGAATCAAACCTACTACAAAGGTCAGCTCTCATCCTCAGGAGTAGGGTGAATGCATACATGAGATTATGTGGTCCAACCCAGCACACTGCATGTCACAACAGCCAGCCACTATAGCCTTGCTGGGAAAGCAAGGACTAAACAGGGCACTGAAATGCATCTTCTTGCAGAAGAGAAAACCTCTAAATGAAATGTTTGACTTTGAGTGAGAGATTTGTCATTGTTAACTTCAGTCATCTAAAACTGAGAGGTGTAGTGGAGGGTAGTCATCATTAGAAATTCTGTAGTGAGTTGATGGACAGGGAAGAAGAATCTGCTTTTTTGCAGATTTTTGCACCTGTCTATATCTGTCTTGTGCAATCTCCATTGACTGTAGATGAAACTCCTAAGTGTTCAGTGAATAAAGTTATTTTTATAAACCCTTAATGAAGATGAAAAATAGACCTAATAAAGAAGTCTGTAGGAATCAAATCCCACGAGATGGGTGAGCTTTCCAGTTCCTTTGACGTGGAGATCTCAACATATGTTTCCCTGAAAGTGGTTCATGAAACACTCAGAGCAGTTTGAATATTATTGTTGAATTATTTGCTGTGGTGTCACCTGTCATTAACCTCACTGCTTCAATTATGAGACTTTTAGAGAGCCAGCATAGACTGAAATGAAATGATTATTTAACATCAGTGAACTTGTGTTTTATAGGATGGGAACTGGACAAATAAATCTAGGTGTCCTATGTACTAGCTGAGGCAGTAAGGTTCACTACTGCCCATTACAGGCTGTTCCAAGATGAAAAACTGAGTCTTCCCCCTAAAAAAAAAAAAAAAAAGTCATAGCAGCTTAGTTTCTGTCAGAAAAACAGTGTTTTCGTTAAAGATCTGCCTAGAGGGGCATCCACAAGCTAAGCGTCAGGATAAGAACATGTACACCCATTCCTTCACAGCAGAGCAAACAAATCCGGGAAAATTAATATGTGCTTAAGGTAGTTTAAACTTTCAGTGGTCATTTGTCAAGTGGCAGCTGGTATGGCAGTGCTCTACAAAACAGACAAGAGATGTCTTCAAAAAATATCATGTACTCCTTGGTTTAAAGAACGCTGAGATGTACTAATCTGGAGATTTTTCTTCATCCAGAAGCTACATGTCAGCTCTTAAAAGCTGAGGAAAAGAAGCTTTTCCAAAGTGGCATATCCTTCAAGATAACAAGTCCTATTGACCTTTAATGCAGTTTGGCGTGGTGTATGGTCTTGGGTCACTTCCATGCTTCAAAAAAAGTCCACCCTGGCAGAGTAATAATAAGGGAAGGGAAAGACCCGCCACCTTGAAGGGCAGATCTTATCTGTTTGCACAGTGCTTGCTCTGCGTCCCAAATCCATGTGCACTAAAAAAGGAATTCTTCCATGCTGCCTTTGTGCTTTGAACATCAGATGATGATGAATTGGATTACTAGTTTATTTGGTGGGTGGCACGTTTCGAAAGAGTAGAACGTGTGTGGTGCCCTGCCTGGCTGCCACTGGTTTAGGACCAAAAAATGCTAGGAGTATGCTACTGTGATACAACTTTTTTTATTGGATTGTTTTGCAAATTTAAGGAAATATTGTCAAGTCAAAACTGACTCGGGTTAATCTGGGGAAAGGCCAATGTACAGAGTACGATTCTTTATTTGTAATACATCTCTGGCATTTGTCCATCTGTAAGAAATAATTTTTAGTTGTCTTTTTTTCAGACTGTATCCTAAAATAATCAGATGTGTTACTGTCTGGTTTATTTTTTATAAAGGATGGTATGAGGCGATACCATGGAGCTATTGCCCGAAGGAGAATTCGACTAGCAAGGTATAGCTGTTTAATGTATCCTCTAAAAAAGTGATCATTTGTTAAGTCATCAAAGTCTCCTCAAATATGACTGTTACGTTGCTTAACTTTCCAAATAATTTTGCCTGAGTTGCGTTGAAATTATTAGAGGCTACTTGTCTCAAAAATACTTTGCTCTATAGGCTATTTTGTATCCTTGTCTTTCTTGGGAAGAAAAAGGAGTTATTGCAAACCTGTCTTGCAACCGAAAATTGAAGAAATACCTGTAAAGTATTTAGAAGACACTTAGGCCTATAGAACTGATTGTTTCTAGCATGTGTAGAAGAAAGTGTAAAAAAACAGTTCATGCTCTTACTTTTCTTTCAAATTTTGTTTTAGAAAATGCATGCTGTCTGCTAAAGAAGACAGACCTTCTGATCCCTGGGAGAGAAGCAACCAGGTAACCTGTAGATTGTGTCCTATTCCCTCCTTGAGTAAAATAGTACATTTGTACACTTTTTGGGTGTGTAAAACAGTTGTACAGGCTGTATCAGTTTCCAAAGTGGACCTTCTGTACTTAAGTGTTATGAGAGTCATGGAAGAATGGATAAATGTATAATAAAATGAATCGGTTTTTTCTTCTGAAAAAAGAGTAGATGCTTCACTATTGCTTTAAGAGTAAGTTTCATACAAAATGTAAAAAATGTCTTTAAGATAGACTCTTTTAACAAGTGGTCCCTTAAGCAGCAGAGCTGTAAGGTCTCCTGCAGATTTATATCCCAGTGTCCCCAGCTTTTAAAAAGCTGAATTCTCCTGTAGAGGAATTAGTTTGGGTTTTTTTTTTCCTTTATCCAGCCGCTGACCTTCTCAAAAATTGCTGTGAGGAAACTGTTTAGTAAATACTAAAAGCGGGGGGCGGGGTGGGGGGAGAGACACGGCAATACTAACAGACAATGAACAGTGAAATAGTGTCAACTTTGTTTCTATGGGAAAGAGAGCTGAAAACATATGTTCATTCCTAGATATCTGCATCAAGTGGTACGTGTTTCTGGCTTGGACGTGCTAGGACATAGAATGTTCCTGTGTCATGAAATGAATAGTGATGAACCTGAATTTAGGTGGATTTATAGCACCCTAAATGTTGTTTCATTGTCGAATTTTTGTGGTTAAATTTTCATTGCATTTGAGATATCAGTGGCTCCCAGAAATTTTACTGGGTCGTTTTCCATTACATGAGAAAATAAATAATTGGGAATTATAATGCAGGAAGTGATTTGCTGCTAACAGTGTCATCTCTGCTGTTTGAAGCAGCATTTCTTTTCTGCAAAACAATAAATATAAATATGCATAGAATGATAAAAATGGCTTACTCTAAGATTTATTTAATATTAAATTAAAACCTGTCTAAAACTCTAAAGCTGTATTCTCTTTATACAGTGATTAAATGAGAACTCCATCCACTGTAGTCAAGCATAAGTAATGGACATATTTGCATTTTCTCTGCTCTGAGCCTACTGTGTAAGGCAATTGCCAAGATAGGCTACAGCTTGATAGCAATGCAGAGGTTAATTTTGTGGTAGATTTTAATTACTTAGGAGGAAGATGGACAAAACCATTAATCTAGTGGTCTGAGAGGTTACCTGTATTATCTCTCTGGTGGTCACAGTTTTTCTGCACCGGTTTATAATTGGAGAAGGCCAAAGTAGTATTTTGTTGTTGTTTGATTAGGGTTGTTTTGCCAACAGCCATGTGAGCACATAATTTGGTTACTGAAAGTATTTAATTCAGAAACTACTGGACTGTGTTTTCTGGAAGGAAAACACTTAAGGGAAAATGCACATTTGTTTGCGATTGAGGGGTAATGATAGAAAAAGAACATCTAATTTCTGGAATGTTTAGTGAAATGTACCTTTACCCTTCATTTTCAGAAATGTATCTTACATTTCAGGCATATGTGAGTTACAGCAATGTAGCTGCACTGACACAGCTAGCAGCAAAATCAGGATGGGAAATAACCAGTACACTGGATCATGTAAGTGTGTAATTGTGGAATAGGTACATAGCCACTTTAGTTATGTTTCCCCATAAGAGATGGGCAGAGAAAAGCAACATTTTACATTTGTAAATAAATATATTGCCTTGGCAGTGTTTGGTTTACTGTGGCTAGGGTTGAAAACCAAAACTCCCAGAGTTTCCCTGAAATGTTGCAAAGCAACCTCTGATTGTCCAGACTGCTGTGCAATCTGGAGGTGGCATGGAGGAGTTCTAAGATGGTCTGAATGACCGGTGAATATAGGACTTGGGATCCCAGAAGGGCAGGCTTGCCAGCAACTGATCAGTTGGGCTTGTTGAGCAACACACAGGAGAGTGTAAAAACACAAACAAATCCATATGTCATTTCTGTGAGACGTTTTCTTTGCCACAACCAACATGCTTCTGTGGGTTTGCCAAACTGTTTGATTCCAGCGAAACACCAAACTTGGACATCTTTGTTTAGGTAGTGCTGTTGACGATTTGTGGGGCTTCTCATGTCACTGTGGCAAGCAAAATGTATCCGGCAGTCTAATATACTGCCTTTACCAGCTTTGCAGCATGGGAGATATTTCTAAGTAGAAGGCATTATCTTGTAATAGTTCCAAGAGCACACTGCCAGTCGGCACGTGGCAGCAATTTATATATCATACTTTTCAGTCTCTGTCTTCTCAGAAGACAACTTGACTCTTTTCTATGCACGTTTTTCTTTTTGGATATCTTTCTTTCTGCCCTTTTTCTATGAAAAAATTATAAAAGCCTGAAAGCAAAGCACCTCTGTTTATCCATCAGTGTTATAAGCTCAAAATCAGCAAGGAATCTTGTGTAAGCCAGTGTTAAGGTAGGAAGATGCTGTTAAGAAAACCAGTAGCAAAGTAATTTAACTGGGAAAACTCAGTTTTAACCTAGTCGCAGTGCATGTTTTCCAAACTATAGAGAGATATCTGTTAAGGTTTGGTTTCTGAAATATGGTTCGTGATTGGCAGATTACTTCAAGATCATGTAGATTCAGAGATGTTTTGGGACAAAAGACGATTGTTACAATCTTTTAGTCTGACCTCCTGCATGTCACAGGCTATGAAACTTCATTTACTGATTCTTGTACCTAGTCAATAAGCTGCTTGAGTAAGGGCATATATAAATCATAAAGAATTCCAGTGACAACAAATCTGCCAGTTCCATCTGTAGGTTGTTCCAGTGCTTAATAATTTTCTGTAGACACTGTTGTGCCAATTAAATGACAGACAGCAATTGTGCTGGAAAAAGCAAGCTTGAACAATCAGACTGAAACGTTGAGCGTTATTTTCAAGCCTCTGCTAAGACTGTATTATTATCCATGTGAAACTTCCTTTCTACATCCAGTGGGACTGCCACAATCTCAGTTTCTTTTTTAACCCCAGATGCTTGAAACCTGTAATAGAACCAGCACCAAATGTTGTGAAGAAATTACTTCATAAAAAAAACCAAAACCCATGCACGTTCTGGATGACATTTTAAACAGCATGATGTTACTTCTCTCTCTCAGCAAGCCACCAGGTACCTTCCAGTATTACTGGAGTCTGGAACTTTCTCCCCTTTTTGGGGAGTCTTGATAGTAAGATCTGCCTCTAAGCCACTTAGGCCTTATCTGGTGGAAAATCTTGAGTAGCTTTCTCTAGCTGTTCTTTCATCTAATTGAAGTAGGTATCTGAAATCCAGAAAAATCTGGCTTGGGCAGGATGTAGGATACAAATCACACTGATGCTATCAATGGATGGAGAGTAGCCATCCATTCGCATTTTTCTGGACATTTCTGCATAATATGGCATTGTCAGTCATTAGATATTCCTTAAAGAAGTGGCAGGGATCCAGGGTAGCACACTATTTTTTTTTTTTTTTTTCTGGAAGGATGTATACAGTGAACAGTGACAGCAAACCATACTTATGATTGTAGGCCACCTCAATTGTTGTATACGATCTATTCCGCAAGTCAGTCTTCTTTCTTATTTAGCATCTACTTGCAGGCACAAGGTAGACTGCTAACAAAGTGTGGATGTCAGCAGTAGGCAGAGGGTACACTTGTCCCCATATGTGACTGTATGCTTACCTCTAAATTAACCCACTAGGTGGATTAGATTTGCTTTTTGCCAAAAAAAATGAGAGTGGAACCAGTTTTGGACTTTACCTATACAACTCCTCCAGTCAAATTTAGATGTGTGGTATAGATGCAGCCCCAAGGAAGGCTTTCTGCCATCTCCAGTTAATGAAACTTCTCATCTTGGCAAATGTTAGTTTGGTTCACTTGTCACTGTTTCGAGCTCACTTTTGTCACTTTTGCAAACATAAGCACAAGGGAGTATCCCTTAAGAAACTATCTAGCTCAGAACATTACATCGTCTTTCCTTAAGCACTGCAGGCCACCACATGCATATCATACCATTCTTATATTCTCTGCAGTCATGTACCAGGTCTCGATCCTTGTGCTTAGGGTACGCAGCAGCATAGGCACAGAAGAACTATTTAGCCTTCTCCGATTGACACGCATAGCAGCATCTCCACTCAAACAGATCTCGTCAGTGTCCATGAAATGGTTTCTTGGGGAGAGGCTGAAAGAACAAATAGTAGGGATCAGGTAGTAGTGCTGATCAGTGCTCTGCCTGAAGGCAGTCATACTGTGGGAAAGGAGACTGTCAAAGACATTAGACTGAATTGTATTTTGGGATGAAATATTCTAGTAGGTAGTTTTTCCAAAGCAGCATGTGCTTCTCTATATGCAGAGGATTTCTTCCCTTTTCCCGGGAATTAGAATGACCTCAAGTTGACTGACAGTTTTTGAAGGTAGAAAGTGGCACTGTGAGCCCGTTGACATAGAGCTACAAGACTTGCAGGCCTGCAGTAATAACCTAGCTTTGCCAGTGTTCACTTAGCAGAGAGATGTTTTAACAGCTGCACCTCCTACTTCATTTTGTGATTTCCAAGTCTAGAAGGCTCCTAAGACAACATGATTTCTCTTTTATGCCTTGAAGGAATATTGATCCATGTACCCTGTAGCTGATTTCTAAAGCTCTTAGGCCTTTTGTTTTACCCCAGACTTTACTTCAGCAAGATGCTTTCTGGATTATATTGGTTTTTTTTTTCCTATTCCAAAACATGAAAGTACAGAAACATACAAAATCTGTCTTGTTGCACAAATGCTCCATAAACCGAAAGACTGTTAATTTTTGATACAACAAAAAAAAGCAACAGTGATGATGAAGCTTATGAATGTTGTATCACTTAGAAATGAAGATCTGCTACAACTTTCTAGGATTTGAGAAGCAATTTAACATATCAGATTAAAATTTGGGAATAAAGTCCACTAATACTAAGCACTCTCTTTAACCCATTTTCTTCCATTATACAGGGTTTACAGAAGATGCCATGCCCTTTTGCAAGGATTATGTCTACATTGTTATGTGCAGGTTATTCCTTTTGAATTCTCTGTGACAGGGTTCAGGCCTATGACTAGAAATAAATCCAAAATAATCAAGACAAGATACTGCAACGGTGGGAAAAGAGAGGCAATACTATGTTTTGAAATAATTTTTCAGTATATTGTTAACTCCAGGTGCTCTGCTTCACAGTAAAGAATAGGGAAGAAAAAAAGATATTCTGGAAAGAGAAATGTTGAGTCATTTTATGGGAAGGGGACATAGGCCTATGTGTGACTGATTTGCATGGACAAAGGGAGCTGAAGTAGTTGAACTCTACTAATTACTAATTAAAGACAAGCTGCTGGACTGTATAGGTTGGAGAGGTGGATCAAGGAGGTAATCCATGTATCATCCCAAATCATCCCTCTTAAAGCTCAGAAAGTGCTTTTGTAAAAATCTGGTCTCTAGGTAAGCTCCCCAAAGCTGCAATGCATAGGACTGCTGGATATGTTCCAAAATCCTGGTGGCAGGGAGGGCAGCTGCTTGGTTTGTCTTATTTTGCTGAAGTCTGTGTTGCTTCACACGTACTGCAGCAATGCTTGTTTCATCTAGTGTGGCCTTACTCCAGCTTGCTCCTGCTCACCAATGCCACATCCAATGGATCCTACTCTTAACTTTTGAATTCCTGGAAAGCTTTAAGTAAACATCACTACTACTTCAGATAAATCTACCTTAATAAAGTTTCTTCCATTCATTCCTAAAAATCATAGTTACCTTCCCTTGCTTTCCCATATTTACGCCATATTTCTGTAACTCAGCGTGGCTCAAGGGCCATGTTAAAAAACAGTGGAATTCTGGACCAGTACCTGCTCACATTTAAAAAGTCTAACCTCCTGTCACTAATGCCAAATTTACAAAAAGAATTGCATGAGGTCCTCAGGTTGCCTTGTTAGCTTTTGGAGTGAGTGAACTGAAGCCTCTATGAGGAGACTTTCTATAGCAAGGTTGAGAAAAGGTTTTTACTTTCATTCCTAAGTGTATCTGTTTATGCTGTTGTTTATGAAAGTGGTGATATCTACGTGGTCCAATAACTCAATTTTTTCCAAGGCACCTGCAGCATGAAAGGTATTTAGAGGGTCTATGTACATAGTGTGAGAAAGAGGTCATACTGGCCTCTAGCTTATTCATTTCCACTTGCAAGCTAATTCAGCTATCCCTAACCAAATGTAATTAAAACTGTGTGATGTCACTGTGCTATCAGTTATTTGATTTTACATTGTGCTGTATTTTAATGTAAAGCTAATCTTGAATACTCCTCTGCCTTTCCTCTGTCAGATATCGTTTCATATGTACTCCTGAGAGAATCTGCTTAAGTCCTAAACGTGTAACATTTATAAGTGTTAAAATATTTATAGCAATCATTCTTTGGTTTTAATACGTTATTCACTTTTTTTCAGATAAAAATATGGACTCATGAGGAGGGTGATGTGTTGTCACTCAAAGTTGAAATGCAAGTGAAGATACCATCACATCTAGCTTTCTCCCTTTTGTCTGACTTCACATTCCGCCAACAATGGGACAAACATTTCATGTAAGAACTTACCTTTCTTTAAGACTGTTCAAATCCACTGACAACTAACCTTTTCTGATACAAATATTTTTGAGATGTTGACGCTTTTCCACCTAATTAAGAAGAAATTGCTATATGAAGTTGACATTAAAGATTCATTAGTCAAAGTATGGATTAGGTTTTTTACCTTAAAAATAAAATTTTATTTCTCCTAAGTCTGATTTTAAAATATGGTTGCCCTGGACTGCCAAAAGAGAGAGCTGGGACAGAGGTTACCATTTTTTAAAATGAACAAAATTCCATGCCTAGACAAATGTATGTTGAGAGGGTTAATTTGAGTAGGTTGCATATAACTTGAGGTCAATCTATTGTGCATGCTCTCTGTAGGAAGTAAGGCAAAGCTGTGGGCTCCTTCATGTTTGTGTTGTTTGGGACACTGATGCTCAGCTTCATCATACGGTCAAAGTGAGAAACGAAGAAATGGAGATCTTCAAAATGCGTATTTTAAGAAAAATATAAAGTGTATCTGAATTGAAATGGGTTTCAGAATTGCTGTAAAAGGTGTAAAAGGTGTTGGAGGGTTTTTTTATTTACCTTATATGGTGTAGAATAATGTCTAGAGACAATTGAATATCAATTTGATTTGGTGAATATTCTCTTAAAGGAGAAGCTTTTTCAGTTAGTCATTCTATCCTGAAAGATTTTTATCAGAGGGTGAAAGAGGAAGCTTAGGGATATTTGAAAATTCACAAGATCTGCTGAATTCGTGGCTTGTAACAAAGGAAATCTGAAGAAATATTGTGTTGATTTTCCATATCTACAGCCAAAATCTCAGATTTCTTATGACTACCGTGAAGCCTGATTGACTAGTCAAAATGGAATACCAGCTTAGCAGTGGTTATTGCTGAGGCAGTAGAAGCTGAAATTAAATAAATCAATTACTGCCAGTGTAAAGGAAAATTCTGTCCTTTTTTCTGTCACGAAAACTCAGAGATATTGATCCGTACTTTCAAGACAGTGAAAAAGTGCGTCCTACCCCGGTGGCCCTGTCTGAACAGAGTAGAACACAACTTCGAATAAAATTTTACAAATGTAATTTTACAAGCTGTCTTTCCTGTGGTGTGTCAGATGGACAATGTTTGGTCATTCAGCATTGCATGGAACGCAAGCTAATGTCATTCCAAACAGGAATTAACAGTACGCAAAAGATAACGCTTTTAAGACATTGCTCCAGCACCTTGCAGCACTTCTTTACAATTTAGTGGGACAGAGAGGTGGTGTCAGATGAGGTGCAACAGAAAACCTCAATTTTTCACTCTGTGTTCCTCTCTCATCCTTGCTGCCTGAACATGAAAATCGTAGGCTTAATGTTAGGATGGAATATATGTTTGTGCTGTGTTTTTCGTAAGAGATGCTATTGCATACATCAGGATCTGCATGTGTGTGTTAAATGTATTTGCAGAACCTGTGAAGTCCTACAGGCTCTGAATGAAGATGAGAAAATATACTATGTTATATCTCCACCCATGACTGGCCATAAACCCAGAGACTTTGTGATTCTTGTGTCTCTAAGGCAACCCTGTCAGCCAAGGTGAGTGTGCAATTTCAAATTCAACTGTGAGCACTTTGAGGCCACAGTTTTGATTACTGTTGACCTTTATCTGGGCCTGTTGTTGGGTGACAAAGGTAATATTTTATTTTTTAAGAAATTAGACTAGTCTAAAAGACAATATGTTGATTCCTGAGTTTGCACAACCAGATTTGTTTTGCATCATGAAGATGTGATGAAGTAAATTCAGAACATCACAGATCTGTAGTGTAGTCCAGGATTGCTTCTTCAAAAGTGACTTTTTGGGAGTGGTCTATCATGAGGGAAAATAGGCCAGAATTCCAAACACGCAATTTGGAAAAAAACACGTCCTAGAGGGCCTGTCAATGTGCTGAAGCACATAACTGGGAGTTTGTTCGTTTGGGTTTTTTTAAGTGACTGTAATCCCATTTAATGTAATTCTCGAGATCTTCTTATTCAAGGAAGTGCTTGGCCTTTCTTGAAACCTCAGTGTGACACATTTATTGTATCTGTAAATTTTGCTGCTGAATTTGGTTTAAGAAGTCCCTTCATCAGTTTAACAACATACATTGATTTTTTTTCATTAGATTTCTTTTTGTTCTTGCATAATGAAACATGGATAAATGGGACCATTTGGTATATCTTATTGTTCTTTATTCTCAATTTCTTTTCTTATATTCAGTAATTCTTCATGCTAACAGAACATTACTTCTAGAAGGCTTGTACTGTGCTTGCTTTTTTTCCCCCCACAACTGGGAACTGAATCATGTCTACCTTTGCTGGGACCACACGGTAAAGCCTCTTAGTGAGGGTTGCTTCTAGACCCTGATTCTGTAAATGTGGGTTGTGGAGAGCAGGATAAATAAAAAAAAGGAGGTGCTGGATGTGGGCGATTGTTCTGTGGCTTTCCACAAGAAGTCTCCTTGATTGGAGTCTGTGATAAAGCCTTAATGAGGCTCAAGAGAGCTGAATCTTTTAACATATCTCTTTAAACATACAGGAGCTTGTTTGACTTCATATGACAATGACATCCTTGGTATAGCTGTGCATACTTTGTAGTCATTTATGTGTATCTTTCTTAACATCTTGTTGAAGAAGTGTTTGATTCTTCCCCTTGCCCTGCAGTGAACCCTACATAGTAGCTGTAAAGTCAGTTACCCTCACATCTATGCCACCTTCTCCAGAACGCTGCAGAAGTGAAATCCTTTGTGCCGGATTCCAGATCTACGGTGACAGCAACCGCTCCTGTACAGTGAGTAGCTCTGCAGACCTCAGCTGTGTCTCCTTTTCTGTAGTATTACATGTGCATATAATCTCATTTGAGCTGACAGTCTAGAAGAGTAACAGCAATACAACAAAAAAAGGAGTCAGTTTCCCCAGAGTTCAGTGTGGTTATTAAGACATTCTTCATTCCACAAAGTGGAATTTGTCTTGCCCAACTTTGGCCAATCTGAATGGTAGGAAAGAAATGTAAACTAAGCACTGGAGATGGCTGGGCACCTCAAGAGAGTCATTCATGTGATCGTAAAATACATTTCTAGAAGGTGTGCATTAAACTGGTCCCTGGTGGTGTCCATCTCTTTTCCCTGACTACAGAAGAAGTCCAAGGAATTAGTTCAGATTAACTTTCATATGTCAGAAATGATGCAATCTGAACCCCATCTATGGACCAATGACAATGTTCCTCTTTTGTTCTTTTCCATCGGAAGGCTATAAATTTTTCATTTAGGAAAATATATTTCTGAAAACATTCAGCAACACTCAGTGGCTGGGATTCTTTTTTCAGGCAACGGCTTGGTTCATAAAGCACATATATTTAACAGGTTACACATAATGTTTCTTGCTTCTGCTTCTACACTACTGTGTACATTTACCTACATGATTGAGGACCTGGCAGTAGTGAGGATACTGTGATCACCAAGTACTGTAAAAAACTACTGTAAAAAATAACTCTTTTTCCTAGTTATTGCCTTTAGTTTCAGAAGCACTATGTGTTTCTATTTGCATCCATAAAAACTTTGATACTCATCTAGGCTCTGCAAAAAATGGCTAACTGTTGCAATCCATAGGCTTTTTTGTTTCATTTGGTTTTGTTTAAACAGGTGTGTTACTCCAAGCAAGTGACATCAGGTGTTATGCCGTACTTAGCTGCAAATCTTACTGGCTCATCAAGATCCATTGAAGACACCGCTTTGGAATGTATAAAGTTCTTGGAGCTGAAAGGCAGCAAGTACTGAAGTTAAAAACAGATTTCTGAAGAGACCTCTAAAGATTATGAAGCAGTACTGGTTTAAATTCCTGCATATTTGTTGATCATTTCTCTACAGGTTAGTTACTTTGGATCATGTAGCCAATATTGGGCTTGAGCCTTAGAATATCTAGTACAAGCATTTTCTATCAAATTAAGATTAGGCCTTAGGCTCTAAATTCAATTTTTAATTTTAAAAAGATTAAAGGACAGATTCTGCTCTTGATTGCATTAATGAATTTTATGTAAATGGAGGCAGAACTTGGCCCAGTAGAACTGTAACTCAGGAGGCTATTTCACTACTTCAATGTTATATTGAATGTAATGGCATCCAGCCAGTTTTGAATCAGTAAATACCACCCTGTCTAATTTGCAGAGAACTGATGCTACTAAGCTGCTTATCCAGTGCTCTGACCTGGTTGTCCAGGTTCTTGCACACCCATTATAGATTACCCTGTATGTAAGTTAGCATTTGCTAATGTTTGTACTTTATCTGTTAATACTTGTAGTTTATCTGTGCCTTCCAATAAATTATTGTTTCTGAGGTGACAAATCCATGGTAAATTTTATTACAGTATCTCTGGAATAGCTTCAGACATCATTCCAGAAAGATTGCTTTGTAGTGATGGTGGGGGCTGTTGGCCTCTCACAGAAGTGCCATGACCTCCAGCTGGCAAGCTGCATGCAAGACTGTTCTGCAAGTGTCGAATAAACGCAGAACAGTGAGACTCTTGGATCCACTCCCTTACAGATGAAAAGGCAGAATGGTTTCAGAGGTTTCATTGTGGTGTGTCTACTTTGTTTTCTGCTCTTATTTTTGCTCAAAAGAGCTTTGTTCAAAAAAAGGAGTATGATCATCAGCACTTCGATTGTAACATGAATGCAGGGGTGTTAAGAGAATCAAAGCACATGACCTGTAGCAGCACCCTTTTATCTTACTGTAGTCTCATAATTGGTAGAGCGAGAGCTCTAGAGGTCTGGTCCAGTTCCCACTTCAGTAAATACATCTTCAGTTTAACCTATAACCAAATCAAAGCTTTCATCAGTGATTTATAGGTTACAGCATGCCTGCACATTTTGCATGTGGGACGCCTACCAAGTGCAGCGGAAGAGACGCCAGCTGGAGTCCTGGGAGCCCTCTGGGTATACTAGCACCGTGAGTCACCCGCCCGCTCAGCAAGACTGGTTAAGCTTGGGTACAGCCTTGCATCAAAGCATTAGTGAAATCAGCCGCTGTCTTCTACGTCTAGCGAAGGCTGGCCTCTGTATGCCGTACAACACAGGGATACCTTTGCACTAGTAATAAAAAGGTAAAGCAGGTTCTGGTCCTTGGCTCTGGACAAGGGACTGCAGATCCAATTCCTGATCCTGATTTTGGATGGTCCTTTTTGTCACGTGGGTAGCGTGGGATACCTCAGCCCCAGGGCAGCCACCTCCAGAGCAGGAAAGCCCCTGAGGCCCTGCTTGCCTCCTCCTGGCCTGGCTGCTAACAGAAGGGTCCAGGGCCCTGCTGCGGACCAGCAGCTCAGCTCTCCGCATCCTGCCCACACTTGCTGTGTGCAGATGATGGCAGACAAGCTCTTGAGTGGGCAGGTGAGTCTCTGTGGACCCAGTTTTTAGAGAACAGAGACACCTAATGTTCAGCTCTGAATACATGCATGACACATCAGGGAGAACGAGCCCAAACGCTGCCTGCACCAAGCATTTATCAGCTATTGGGGTGGCTTACTATGCAGCACAGTTTATAACTTGCCTTTAGAGGCACTTACACACGGAACTCAGCTGTCGGGCTACCACAGGGGCTGTTTGGAGAACGTTATGTGGCATTTTTGAAATACTAGCATTCTGCTGAGCTCATGCCTACATGAGAGGTTCTGCCTTCTGCCCCCAGCACTGAGACCTTGGCCATCGTAGTGCAAAGCCAGGCCACGTGCCGGGTGCAGCCACCACACATCTCTTTGACATAGACCAGGGATTGTATTTTATCAGCCTCTGTGCAGCTTCTAAGACAAGGAGATTGACGTTTCTGGAGAGTGTAGTACAAGCATTTCAGTGCCTCATTTTCCTCAGCCGTCACTGAAGCAGAGCGGGAGGCCTACATGCTTCCAGCCCCACGGAAGCATCGCATGTGACTACCTAAAAACAGCTGTTGCCTTTATACTGAAATTCTCAGAGAAGGCGTACCCTGTGATTTTCTAAGTCTAAAGAAGTGCATCATTTCTTCTGAGCGGACAGCAGAGCAGCAGTCAGGCACAGAACCCTGAGAAGTGTTTTTATGGTGCAAGATGGATCAAAGCAACAGGTATGAAACTCAGGGCTAGCTTACCCAGTCACGGTTGTTAGGCTCACAGACCTCCAGAGGAGCACTACACGGAAGACTGCGTCACCGCGCTGAGAAGGCTGGGCTAGAAGGCAGGCAAGCTGGAGACCAGCACGCCCTGCTTGTGCTCCATCGTTTTGAGAACAAAGGTTAATTCAACGCTTCTTGTGGGATTTTTGACACAACTGCCCTTGTCACCCTGTTTTTAGCAGTCCCTTTGCCAAGCAGAAGTGACAGTGATCACCTGTGGGAACAGTCAATTTTCTTTTCCTCCAACTTAAACGTTGTACACTGTGTACGTTACCAGCCTGTCAAAGGGACGCTTCTGCCTCAGCTGGCAGTAGCAGAACTGGGTGACAACATCTTGCTCAGAACCACAGACCCGCAGCAGCCCCTTCCTCGGGAAGAGAGGCTGCGCTCCAAAACCGCAACTTGCACACCACGCTGCCTACACCAGCCCCTTGTCTGGGAAGTATCGGTACCGCTAGGGAAGTCAAGGTGCATGGCTTCAAGTTCCGAGGGGTAAAAGAACATGTTACAATATCAAGGAGTTTTTAAAGACAGGAAATGATCTAAAAAGATGCTTTTTAAACAATACACTTACTCATATAATAGAAAACACTTTTTAAGCTGGGATAAATGTCTGTTGCAAAATGTCCACATTAAAGTGATACTGCTTTGAGCTTTAATCCAATAGTTAATTAAAACTCTGTAATTAATCCTTGATTTCATCCACATCTGCTCCTCTTCCCCATTTACACGTGTGCTCTGATTATTATAAACTGAATATACATGCCGTATCTGAGTCAACTAATATGCCTTTGTATCCAGAGCAGAACCAGGAAACCTAACATAAGAGCTGTAACTACTGTATTCTTTAGCAGCATTTTATTAAAAATAATTAACATGTACAGATATAAAATATATCAGCACAATTAAACTCCTGTGTTTGTTTTCTGCTGTAAGAAAAATTCATAGTTTCAGCAGCTGGTCCTAAGCACCTCAAAACCCAGTCCTGAGCTCAAGTTTGCTGTCTGGTGTTCCTTCTGCGTTCTCACCAAGGCGACACAGGGACCGTTAGGACACCTTTATTCAAAGGGTAAATTAATTCTTTAGAAGCAATAGCTTTACTACTGCATAGGTTCCCCTCATGGACTGTTGCTTATTACTGTATAATGCAAGCTGATGTTTGTAGAAGGCACATTTAAGTTTTTTCGACACTGAAGTACCGTATTTGTCCGACGGCAACCACGGCTGCAGTAGGGGCCCAAGAAGCCCGGTGCCGCAGGTGCGCAGAGACCCCGCGCAGCACCTGCCCATGCTGCCCAGAACTGCATCAGGACACCGGTTCAGAACAGAGCGCCGCACGCGAGATGAGCTCGAGGCACGTTTCTGCAGCAACATCAGGCTTCCTTGGTCCCCTCACGCGAGACATTCAGACACAAGCGGGAGCCTACCACCACTGGCTGTGTAGGCTGAATTACTACAGTATTTGGAGAGCTGTGGCAGGAACTCCATTTTGAGTTAGTTTCGTAAATTTTTTTTAATACGTATCAGTTTTTCTAAGGATGCAGTTTTTCAGGCTCCATTTAAAAAGAAATAAATCTGCCATTAAGCAGGTATGTGTAAGACAAAGCAAAGTTTACTCCCAACCCCCCCAAGGGATAGAAACACTGAAGATTTTTGAGCACATTCCTTGAAAAAAGTGAAGAAACTAAGCAAGCTGCTCACTTGCTCTCCAGGTCTTTTCAGGTCTATTTCACCACAGATATCAGAGGAAGGGCATGGTTCTGTTTCTATTGGTGAACTAATACTCAAACAATCCAACATGCATAGACAATTGAGTTAATGCATGTACATATTTAACTGAGTAGTGGTAATTGCACCCCCAAGCTCTACAGGCTGCAGGGCCTACCTGATCACTTTACACTACAGGACTGCTCAAGCTTGGACATACAGAGCAAGAAATCATTCTTTCTAAAAGGAGAAGGCAAAACCAAACCAGAACCCAACCAAGAGTCTTTAGAAAATACCCACAATGCCTTTCAGAGATGTAGAAATACTCTTAATAAGACCAGCAGGATTGTGTTCGTCTCTGATAAGTAAAAGCAGCCCTCTTAAGGTAACAATACTGACCACTGAAATCCAGTGGTCACAGACCCCTGCGATAAAATGCACATACCCTCTGTGGTTACTGCAACAAGACCCCTGTTACGAGAAGAAGACGGTATCCCTCTTCAGAGAGCTGACAGTGAAAGGGAATGTGAACCAGAGGGAATGCTGTGTTTCAGCAGAGATATATAAAAATAAAATACCCACTCACTGTATTTCTGTTGTTCCTAGCTTTTCAGTAAGCTAGGGGAATCTGGGAGGCAAACTGGAAAAATGACGGGAAACAAAAAGAAAATTTAGCAGCAGCAGTCTGCTTGATTTTCTGGAACCAGCAATCCACTCTGTGTAGTCACTATTCTGGAGTGAAGCAGTGCAAGCTAACTGTTGTTTATAGCCAAGAGGCCTTCAAAAAGTAACAACTTTGGGTAATTTCACTTTTGGTTTTTGCAGCTTTGATGCTTCTGTAATTTCTTCATAATCTGCGCTCATTCCAATGGCCCATCGCCCGACCGTAACCTGATCTGTAGAGTGAGAGACAAGAGATCACAGAAAGGCTAAGCATTCAGATTATACCGAACTTCCACATTTGAGGAAGATTTGGCCTGCAAAGGGCTGTCGTTGAGTCACCAAAGATCTACCAGTTTAGTTCTAGCTCTGAAGCCAACTCCCTTTAAGCAACCTTTTTTTTTAAATTGTGTTTCGTAAACTCCCTTTCTTCCCCCACGCAGATTGTCAAGGTTCAGAAATCATTACTACATGTTTTTTTCCTATTTGACTGTCCAAAGAAACATTCAAAGAGTATGCAGACAATACCTTAGCTCTCATGTAAGTCCAAATAACTCTTACAGTGAAGATTTCAGAGTATGTCAAGCACCTCTGGATATAAAGGAAAGACCTTCTCTATTGTACAGATGAAAAAACTGAGCCTGAGGAGGCACAACCGAGTAAGATTTACATCTCTCAGCTCACATCCCTGCATATAATCAACATCATCCCTTTGCTGTTTAAATGCAATTTAATGTAATTTAATTTGCAATTTAATTTAAATGCAATTTCATTTAACCAATTCACACCCCTTTCCTAGAGAAAACACTTAACCAACTGATATTTCTTTTCTGAATGACAATCTAATTTTGAGAGCAACAAATCAAATCATACCAAGAATATCACACAGATAAATCAATGTTTACTTGGATTAACTTCTGTATATTAAAGCAGGCCAAATAACTCCACCTGAAGAAATTAAAAGCTGTAGTGCCTAAACCTCTTTGCCAGCCATCAGCTAATCTCCCTGTAGCCTAGAAGTACTTTGCATGATGCAAACTGATTTCAAAAAATATTACAATTCTTAGCAACGGTGTCACAGTTCCAACTAATTCAACTACTTTTAACCAGCAATACTAGTTTTGAAACATCAGCATAAAGACTAAGATGTCCCTTGCGAAATTAAACAGCAGTTGTCAGTCTTCATTATGGACATCAAACTTCTCAAAAAAAGGTAGAAAAAAATTCCAATTCTGCATCACATACAATGTAAAGCCCTACCGCCAGAGAGCAGAAAGGCTTGCACCGGACTGCACTAACAACTGAAGATGGCCATTTCCTGGTAACAGCTGGCCCAGCCTTGAGCAATGCCATTCCTTATGAACATTTATTTTCTCCTACTGCATCTGTACAGGTTTTTGACTTACAAAAAGCGTTAACCACACAAAGGTTGTTTGCCATAAATGTGGCGTGCATAAATCCAACAAGGGCTACATTACAGGCTTTCAACTGAGCAGTCATCTGAGTGGGCACTGCCCAACGGTCTGCTATGGCTGATGAGTTTGCGGAAAATTTGAAGAGTCTTTTTTGTATCAGAAACTTTGGTCAGACCAGTGAAGACTCAATCTCACTTGTTCTAAACTAGTAAAGCAGCATACATATAGAAGGTTACATATGGTCTCAGATGCACCAGTATCATATGTATAGGATCAGATACAGAAAACAGCTGAAGTACAGGCCTCTATTGCCTCCATAAATATTTCTTACATAAATTCCACAGAAGTTTATGGCATGTCATTAACCCAAAAGTTCTACAAGCCATACAAATGACATAGAAAAATGAACACGTTTCACCGCTTCAGTAACAGCCTCATTCTTCAAAGCCCTTTGATGCTTTTGCCTTCCTTAGCAGAGTTTTTTTGTAGATAACATAATTCTTCCACCCACATGGAAGACTGAAGAACATGTAACCAGCTTATTAGCTGGTGTATCTAGCTGGACAGATCCCCTCCTTCTCTCCTGTCTTGAATGACTTGAACACTTGCCCGCACACACAGCTTTTACAAGCTGCCAGTACCACCACCCTGCAACTGACATTATACTCCATTCCACCACTTCACACACAAATCATCAAAAGAAGAAACCAGTTTTGTTCTACAGCTGCTGAAGTTGTGAACGGCAGCATAAATACTGGCTAACAAAACCACATCAGCTCATATTATCTTCAGAAACCCACAAGCTAGATATTTTTTTTTTAAATGGGAAGTTCAAGATTTGCATTGCAACTTAATGCCTCCTCCACATACTCCTTAATATAAGCACTCACTCCCAAAGGAAGGTCACCTTTGTTATTTGCAGGTTCTCTTCTCAAACCCTTTTTTCCTGACCAAAGCCAGGCAAAGCAGTAAATCAACATTACTCAGCTGTGCACTCAAAACTCCGCTCTGTACAGTCCCCTGCATCTCACCTGAGTTCTGTTTTTCCGGACAGTCTTTTCTGAAGTGCTCCACAGAGCCACAAAGTCTGCAGCCACCACCTGTTAAGACAGAAAGTTGTTACTCATCTGGGAAAAAAAAAACACCAAGCACAAAACAACCTCCCTACACTGTTTTGCTCTTGTCTGTATATTGAAAAATCTAGTTCTAGTTTTCTGTAGTGACAATCTGTAAATAAGATACGGAAATGTCCCTGTGGAGAGGGCTGCACTCCCAGGCACAATAATATTACATTGTGGAGCAGATACGCAGCCAGCTTTAGAAGCCCGCAAACACAGCTTCCTCTGTCTCTGTGACTCTGATGGATAGAACTGTCTGTACTCATGTTGCTCTGTAAAGCAACATATAATACAAATTCCATTCACCACATACTGAGTATTTCTGATGTGTCTGAAGCTCTTTTTGAGAAACCAGCTGAAGTTTGAATTGGGAGACAGAATGTTATTTGTTAGTGCCTACAGAGAAACCAGGCAGTGCAGAATCTGAGTGAAATCTTCAAACTTAGATCACATTTCTCATTAAAGTCACTTAAACTGAAGATGCCCTCTTTCTAGTGAGAGCCCTTGTTTTGCGTGAACACCTCCCAGAGTCTTACGCTACAGTATGAGAGTGTGGTTTTACCACATACTTTGGCATATGTACATTTAAATACATACTGACTACATACACACAGACTATTATGATTTTGTTTCTTTCTGTACCTCTTGAAACTGCAAGCACAAGCAAGTTCTCATACTTTGCATCTCATCTCGTTAACACTAAGCTTACAATTAAAACAGAAATCCCTAGGTAATCAATATTAACACTGAATTTCCCAGTATTCCCCAGAATTAATCTGCTTTTAGCAAGAGTAAAAGATATTTGGAAATTCCTTTTAGTCGGATCCCCATTCACTTACAATGTTACTTTGTTCTGTGTCAGGCAAGTATGAAAAACATGGTTTGGTTTTAGTAAATTACTACACTCACCTTCAGCATACAATCCTTTGGGATTATCTGGACATGACCTTGATAGATGTCCCATCTCGCCACAGATGAAACATTTTGCATATGGAAATGCCCCTGCAAAATCCCATACAGTTTATGATCCACATTAAAAAGCTTTGTAAAGTCACAGACAATAGTGAGCACACTATAAGGACAAGATCTTACTACGCTATGTTACTATAAACATTATACTGTCTCTTACACTGTTAGGTTCATTGTTACAATATTGTGTTCCTTTAAACATATTAACCTATCTCCTCAGATCACTTAAATTACTAAAACACAAAGCTTCTATTTTAGTAGTCAGAAAACTCAGACCAAAGCACCTCGAAAAATACAAATTTCTGAGACATACCAACAGCCGGATCTATTTTTGCTTTGCATTTGCTGATGTCATGTTCTGTGGATCCACACCGGTAACAGATTCCTGTACCCATATCTTGACTTTCAAGCACTGCAGGACAATCAGCAACACCATGGCCAGGTTCTCTACAGTGGAAACATACCTTTGAAAATAAAAATTAAGTTAGATGCATTTTCATAGACAGTTCACATAGCAAAACACTCCACTTATAGGTGGCTTTACTAAAGAATTCACTTACTCCTATTATCTGATTATCACCTATAACCAGTAGACTTCTACTAGACCACTGCTTCTCTTGGCTGAAATCTTGAGGGTACTATCAGATACGTATCTCTAGTGTTGATATTTGAGGTTACTCTAACATAAAAAGACAAGATTCTGTGAATGGCACTCAAAGACCTCAAAATCCCAGTCTAAAAAGGCCTTCCAGCTTTTTAGAAGGCTAGCATATCAAAGGATTTTCTCCTCAGGCAAAAAAAACAGCTAGACAAAAGAGACATTGTACCCCGTCACAAAATAACTGTCACTGGTCTATGCCATTAAACCATATTATTATGGGTATTTCTCTCCTTTTACCAACAACACAGGGTATTCACTCATTGACAACTGAGTGCCCTGGATGAATGATGATAGCCGATTTTGACTATAGCAAAGTTCTCAAAGCTCTTTAAGTATTACAGCAGTAAGTGCTTAGGTAAATACAAGCAATGTAGCACCAGTCCTATAATTTACTCATGAAGAACCTGGATATCTCAGATCAATTAGTAGTAAACTCTCTTTACTACATTCCCAGATGACATTCAGCGTAAATTTATGCTGAATGCGTAAGTCTTTGCTGAGATAACTGCTTTTAGACAGTCTGCTGGAGATCTCACTCCAATTCTCAAGCAGAAGACACTGCAGAAAGGGGCCCCAAA